TGTACTTTATATACCATGCTTAAATAGACAATACATTGCTTAATCAAGAGGACCAAAGATATCTAAAAATTATTTAAACATCTTTGGAAGCTCTGGGCATCTTGCCGCTTGCGTAGTTAGCGACGTTGCTCTCTGGGTCGCCGGGCACCACCGCCAAAGGGACGTCCTCCGAGAAGAGGGCGGTCACGGCAGCCTCGTTCAGCTGGGCACAGGCTCGCCGACTGACTGTCAGAAAGAGGGTGTGTGGCGTCTCGGCCAGGACGTGGGCGACGTCGTCCTGGCTCGGTTCCGCGTTCATGACGTAGCCCGCCGTCCGACGTGAGGGCGCCTTGTGGCCAGCCATTATCTGCCGCAGCTGCTGCCGCGTTGGCTTGCCAACCCGCAGAAGTTCCAGCGTCTTCCGCAGCTTGGGGCACTTGCAGCGCAGCATGGCGTGTAGCTCACGCTTTTTCACGAGGACGCTGTGCCACAGGGAGGAATCCAGTGGGCTGGTGGGGTCGACCCCAGGCAGCTGGTAGAAGTCCCCGACGAAGACCACGGTCGGAACGCGCTCAGCGGCCTCCCATTGCTCCATGATGCGCTCGAAGATGGCCTTGGACAGCTGGCCGACCTCCTCGACAATGATCAAGTCGTAGGGCCACAGAACTTCCAAGGCCTCCTGCACCGGCTTGTGGACGAGGAAGGCGCCGTGCACCGTGTCGACCTCCAGCTCCGCGAACTTCTCGCGCAGGCTGGCAGCCAGTCGACCGGTGGGAGCGGTCAGAAGGATGCGACCGCCAGCCTGGGCCACGCGACGAATGGCGGCGTGCACCGCCGTCGTCTTGCCTCCGAGGATGGCAAAGGTCGACCGGGCATCCGCCGCGACAAGGAAGGGGGAAGCCGCCTCGGCCATGTCGGCCGGGTCGTCGGACTGCGCCGCTTCGCCCTTCCACGCGGTTTCCCGCTGCTGCCTTCGGCGCAGGCCCTCCTGAACGGCTTCCACCAACTCGTCCGCGATGTCCGCCGGAAAGAGTCACTCCCGCGCCCCCCCCCGACAGCCTGCCTGCCCTCGCCGTCGTCGGGCACGTCCTCGTTCTTGTCGAGCTCGCCGGAGAGGTAGCAGCGGATAAGGCCTTGGTTGGCAAAGAGCATAGCCAGAATGTTGCGCACGTGGTGCTCACGGAAGGCCTCCAGCTCCAACTCCGCCCGGATGGCTTCCTCACTCGTCCAGTGGTCGGGTCGCAGCAGCAACGCCAGCGTCTGGTAGTAGAGGTGGTGCGGCACCAGCTCGAGCTCGGCGGTACAGGTCGTCAAGGGACCGAAAGGGAACGTTCATCAAGACCCACTGCCCGTAGAAGCGGTCGTTTTAGCGTGAAAGGTAGATGGCGGCCAGGGCCACGTCTCCACGCAGAGAGGCACCATTCGCCCACGTCTCCAGGGATTCCAGGGGCGCTTCGCCGGCGAGCTCTTCGGCGACCATCTGCTGGTACCTTTTGCGGAAAGCCTGGTGAATCTCGCCCGACTTGTTCGTCCTCCGCAAATAGTCGACCACGGACATGTCCACAGCGCGCCAGGTGCTGACCATGTACCGCTGCACGCGCTCCGGTAAGTCGCCCTCCCACGGCACAGGCACACGGAAGCGCTGCAAGGTGCTCCCAGCAAAACACTGCGGGAACCACTGCATGGCCAGCTGCAGGGCCATCTCCGGTTCGAGCGGGTGGTAATCCGTCAAGACTCGCCGGGCGACGGCGTAGTCGCTGCAGGCGTCCGCCAGCCACTCGGTCGTGAAGCTGTCCGAAAACTTCGGCACGTAGCTGGAGACGTACCGCAACAGCATGCCACGCCCGTCGGCCATTTGCACATCCACGTGGCAGCACAGACTGGACAGGACGTCCTTGACATAGCCGCGGACGCGCTCAGGAACGCCGTCAGCATTGTAGCGGCAGAAGTCGGACTCCGTGTGATGCAGCCGCAGCACGCCTGCCGAGGGGTTGTAGCGTGACGCCCCGGGTTCCAGCGGCCAGCCACTTCCTGTCCAAGAGCGCTGCGAGCCTTCCACGAGGGAGCTCATGACGGGATTGTCAACCGGCACTGTGGCGGCGAGGCTCTCCTCCAACTTAACAGCTTCGAGGTGCTGCAGCCAGACCAACAAGTGCAGGTGGACGGTGCCGCGACCATGGTAGAACTGCGAAGCCGCCTCCTGGCCGTTCACGTAGCGGCGCCGCTTGCCGTCCTGATACTCCAGGCGGCCGAAGAAGTTGAGGACGGTCTTGCGGCCCGAGCCGTCCTTTGCAGCAAAGATATGGCTCGTCCAAGGCGCCCTATAGCCTTGACGACTGCCGGCTCTCTGGTTGTTGGCACCCGTCAGCAGGCCCCTGCGCCGCCTGGGCCAGCACGTGAGCGATGTGGAGCGTCTCGGCCACAGGAAGACGCAGCTTGCAGCACAGCAGCTTCTTCATCTCGTCCTCGACCCACGAGTGGAAGGGAAAACTCCATTCGTAGGGGGCGATTGTGATGAAGAGGCTAGGCAGTCCGAGTTGCTTGACGACATCGATCAAGGCGGCATGGCGCGTCTGCCAGTATTCCGGAGAAAAAGAGTAGCCCGCCATGGCCAAACGCAGCGGCGCATCGACCGTGTTCTTCTTGGCACCGAGCACGCTCCACAGCCACAAGTCGTAGACAAACTGGAAGAGCTCATAGTCGGCACCATAGCCCAGAACGGGGCCCAGAACCTTGGCCAGATAGGCGGCCTTGGCGGAATTGCGGCCGGGCCTTGCGAAGTCCAACGGCGCGGCGGCCTCCGCTTCATCCTCGGACGGTGCCGGCTCCGCGATCGCGGCGCCCTCCGGGTCGTCATCCGCGTCCATGAATTGCTCGTCTTCGGAAGCAGACGAGACCCCGGCCGCCGGCTGCGCGGCCCGGCGACCCTGGCGTTCCCGGCGTCGACTGTCCGCCTTGCGAATGTAAGTCTCACACATGGCGGTCCTGGGATAGAGATGGGGCCACACGGCACATTCCAAGCCTTCCTCCTCCAGCGCCCGGCGGGGCAGCCGCAGCAGCGGGTCGTCGGCCTCGCCAGTGAGGCTTGCACGGTTGCGACGCAAGAAACGTTCGTGCATCTGGACGAAAACGGCGTAGGAGCTGTCGGTCGAGGCCATGAGGTGCCGGTGGGCCGCCGCCGCCGCGGCACGCTCCCGCACATCAGCTAGCGCCTGAATTTGCGCCGTCACAGTCTGCGGCCGCCGCCGGAAGCGGATCATGTCGGTGTGGACCCGATATCCGTGCTTGGCGAAGACCGGGAGCCCCACATCGGGCTCCAGAGGACGCAGGGCCCACAACACGTCGAGAGAGAGGTTCTGGAGCTCCGCCGGAATCATGTCCACGGAGACGGTCGGGTAACCGATGCCAGCACGACAATGAGGGCACCTTCGCAGCGTGTTCTTGCGTGGGCCACCGCTCCTGTACAGGGCGCGGTTCGAGGCGAAGGCACTGCTCGCAGAGCACCCAGGAAGAGGATCGACACCACCGCTCGAAGCGCTCGGCCGTAGGCGATCGCCAGTCGGCCTCGCCTGCCTCCCTGGCCTGCATGAGTGCTCCAAACTTGGAGCGGATGCGCCGGCCGTCGTCTGCCGTTTTGGCGCGGTACACCGCCTCCGCATTCTCTGCGACCGGCAAGCCCAGGTTCACCCGGCGGTCGAGGAGGCCCTCCCAAGACTGAGTCGCGGCTGCGGCCGCCTTGCGTGCAGCGATGGCGCCTTGGGCGCGGGACGGCCGCTGCAGGGCGGCGTGCAGACGAGCGTGGTGTTCCACAGGCATAACTTCCCAAGCCCGCGCGAGGACGGCCGCCGCATCTGCGTCAGTCCATATGCGCAAGGCGCGGGTGACATGCTTGCGACGCTGGGGCACTTGCAGCGTCTGGTTCAGACGCTCAGGATCGCACCACATACAAGTCTTATCTCCTTTCTGCAGAGAAGCGGGCTGGCCAAAAGCATCCGGTCGCAGGGAAAAAAGGCAAGCGCGACCGGCGCGCCCAGGGCAGAGCTCGCTCGGCCAGGGCTTGCGCGGAGCGACCGCCTTGCGCTTGCGTGGTCCTCGGGCCGCAGGCTGCACATCCACGTCGGCCGCATCCAGCAGGCTCGCGGGCGCGGCCAGGATCCGTGGACGACCGCGAACCTCGTCGGCTGCATCTGCCTTGTCGGCCGCCTCTTGGAGGATGTGTTGCACATCGAGGTCGGCCATGCTTGCGGCAGCTACACGAAATTAACACAGCAGGCTGCGGCGGATGCATGCCGGACACTAGTGACTCGACAGCCAGTTGCTTGCCGTCTCGGGGCAGTCATGCATGACAGCTGCGTGCAGGTCGTGAGCAAAGTGCCTATCTACCCCACCTCCCCGCTAGGACACAGGGCCTTTTTTCTGCCGAAGTGACTCGCAAAGTCCGTGCGTTCGTCGGCGGTCGAGGCTGTTCTCTCCTCGACGGACGGCCGACGCAGCAAGTTTCGACTATATAGATCCACCATCCCGCAGATCGGGCTCAGCCACCCTTGCGCACGAGGGCCACTTTGGTGCAGTTGCGGGCGAGGGTCACGTCGGGCTGCATGCATCTCACGGAGGATAAAGTCGTCGTTCATGGCACGGATCTCCCAGTTGGGCGCATCTGACAGACTGCCCTGGGCCTCCATGAGCCGCGCGACGGCCGCGGCGATGGTCTCCTCCTCCTCGGCGAGCGCAACCTCGTCCACGGGCGTGTCCTCCTTCACCACAGCTTTGCCGTCGGCGCAGTGCGACGACCGAGCTTCTTCGGGTGGGATCCAGGCGCCGGGGACCTGTGCTTCTTGCCGGCCGTCCGCTGCTCGGTTGACTCCGAAGGGTCGTCCTTCTTGTTCTTTTTCTTCTGCTTCTTCTCCGTCTTCTTGGTCTTGGTAGCGCTGGAAGATGACTTCTTCGACTTCTTGGCTTTGTTCTTCTTTTTGTGCTTCCGGGAGCTGGAGGTGCTGGAAGCCTTGGAGCCGTCGGTGCTGCCAGCCGGGCTCGTACGGCGTCGCGTGTCCTTCTTCGTGAAGAGGGCGGATGCGTTGTTTCCGCGGCCCCGCTCGTGGTCCTCATCCAGCTTCTCGCACAGCATGGCGGCGATCGCTTTCTACATCTTCGTCTCATCCTTGCCCTTCTTCCTCCAATCACGGACAGACGTGGAGTCGGAGACGCCCTCTGGAATCTGAGACACCCACCATGCGGGATCTTCTGCGCAGAGCAGCAGGGGAAGCAGCGCCGTGCCCATAAGGTACAGACGGCTACTCGCAATGGTCAACTTCTGCGCCAACTCCT